AGACGATGCATTTTTTTGACTCTTCAGCTCGAGGTGTTTGGTAAGAATGGTGCCATGACAGACGAATGCATCGAATAGAACTTTCCAGTATGTTGGCTCGTTTGCTATGGTCTTAGAATTTGATCTTTAACTACCCGTACTTAAAATAGATTATTCAATTAATCGAAAGAATTTCGTCTCTCAACTAACGTTTACTTGAGCCTTTCTATAGGTAAATTAGTAATATGATGTTAAGTAGTGAAGCCATATCCAAATCACGACAACATCTTTGACCGTCTGCACTAAAGAAAAGCCCAGTGGATTTGCCACTTTGTGGGAAAATGCAGCCATCTTGATAGCTTCTCATGGACTCAGTTCCCCTCGAGGATACCATTGGAGCCTGGGCATGGTCGGATTTGAAGGTAGCCACTGAAAAGCGAGCAATTGTTGGAGGCAGTGTTCGGTATATTACAGCGGACTTTGGCCACGTGCCCAGTTAACAACGTCAATCTTTCAGAATATTTTGATTCTTGTACTTACATTGTCATAAAAATGATCATATAATTACAATTTTTATAGGCGGTGCCAATGAAGTTGTGTAGTACGGCAACCGTTTGAAACTCCAAAATAAAGTGGAGTGTTTTTCGCGCTTTTTGTGGTTAACCCATTCTTGTTGAAATACCGAAGAATTGAACTTCAGACCCAGTCTTTGGGGGACTCTGTGTTGGATGACGGATATCGCTTAATCCATTGACTAGCATTATTCAAGAGTAGTTGATGCGGCACGAACTTTCTCGATGTTTCCGGCATTCCAGAAATAACTTTTCATGGAGTGAGGTGCCTTCTGGGACCCTGAAACTTTGAAGAACGGACTGAGCCGAAAACATGACGGTTTCTGGGTTTGTCAGAGGCTAACTTTATAATGAAGTGGCCTGACCTCATTTTCGCAACTTGGTCATTTTGTCAGGCTATACTAGTTAGTCTTATTCCCTGCAGAGAGCCGTGAACTTGGTACATGTTCAGACGTTACTCCGGCATCGTCACTGGGTCTTGCCATTCTCAGCACCAATCTAAAATTCGTCAAAGAGACAAGTCTTGCCTATGGAACTGAAAAATATCACTGGCTTTTCCGGCTACGATGCCGGCGAAACTTCTCAGAATGTACCAAGTCCACGGTCCGACGCTGGGCATTATGATAGCTACTATAACAGGTGACTTGTAATAATGTGCGCCCAATCAGGTCATCATGACAACACGACCAAGTTGCAAAAACGAAAGGAGACTGCGACCAAAACAGACGCCACGACATCTGGCTCTCCATATCAAAGTTTAACATTGACTAATGCTTGATCCTCTTTCCAACGCATGCCCCAAAACCGCCTTAAAGACGAACGATCTGATCACCTTCGCTCCACATCCCAGCCCCTCGGAGACCGGGACTCTCGGCTGCCTCAAGACTAGCCCCAGACGGAGCCACCAGTCGCCAGTCGAGACGAGAGACACTCACCGGCCCAGCTGCCCGACCATCAACGCTGGTCGAATTGCCAACACCATCCCATCTGCCCTTCAACCGCCCACTGCCACGCCGGCTTCCACCTCCACGCCGACGCCGACACCGACGCCAACGCCAACGCCAACTCAGACGCCGACACCAACACCAACCCCGACGCCAGGACCAACATCCACGCCTGGACAAGCGCCGATGTCGGCACAGGCCGCCACACTCAGTCTCA